CTGTTGTGTGTCCATTACTTGAACACCTGCCAAAGACGAGACATCTAGCTAACTATCTAAGCCCACCACCACCCCCTTCCTCTTGGAAGGACATCTATTTTTCATTCATTTATCCACCTATATATTCAGTAAAATGACTAACCAGACCATCAGTTTCTAGTCATTGCTGAGGTGTGAGTCCCGTTTCTCCACATGCCCCAGTGTAATCTGACATACAAGACAAAAACAAGACTAACAAAACTCTACATGCTGCTGATCTTCAGCAATAAACAAAGTTTTCTCCAGTGCTCTTCAGATATATCTCAACTGTTGCCTTGTGACTCTTCTCCTTCTGCTTCACTCCAATCTGCAAAAGACTAAGACAGCACCAACAGAGCCCTAACTGATGGCTGAGCTCCTGCAATGCACATGCTGTTCTCCGGCAATTTAAAAAAAATCTCCACTGATGCTCTTGTGAGTCTCTCTCTTCTCCCTGCTGTATGTCCATTACCTACAATAAATAACAGCCACAGAGAAGACATCTAGCTAACAATCTATGTCCACCACTACCCTCTTCTTCTTGGAAGGACATTCATGCCATGCACCTATCCACCTGTTTTTGAAGGACACTCCTGACCATCAGTGTCCAGTCATTGCTGAGGTGTGTGATTCCTATATTTCTCCACAAGCTGCACTCCAGACTGTAAAAGACAAAGACACGACTGACAGAGCTCTATATGCTTGCTGAACTCCTGCAGTGCACTAAATGTTCTCCAGCGTTCCTTAGACAAATCTCCACTGATGCTCTTGTGAGTTTCCTTCTTCTGTCTGTTGTGTGTCCACTACCTGAAAAAGAAACGCCTGCCGCAGAGAATACATCTATCTATCTAAAGCTGAGCTCAGACTACAGAAGTTTTAGTCCAATTTATTTTGACCTCCCGAGAATCGGAGATGAAATCTTGTCGAGGACTTTGATCGGTTCTCAGCGCAGATTATCTGGTAATGTGAGCCGTTTAAAGATAGAATCTTGCACCTCGCCATCTTGAACACAAATCGCAGCCTCCCTGATCATAACAGACATGATTGAAATCCAGAAATTCAAATCGGGCTGATCACAGCAGTTCAAACCTATTCAGTATTAACAAAGCCATGAGCTGGAGAGAATCATGTTGCTTTCAATAAATAAATAAATATATCATTTTTTTGAATAAGCTTGAATTATCCTTTATTATTAGCCAGATTTTACGTTATTCTTATTGCGGTGTGCAGATATTGATGACACATGTGTAGCCGGGCACTAGAACATTGCCAGTTATCTCCAAAACCCAAAATGATTCAACATATTACAGTTTTTCTCAGTGGCTTTGGTGCATTTCTCACAACACTATTTACATTTGCACAACAGTTAATGCATTTCTCAAAACTATTAGTCATTTGTGCACATCATAGTAGCAGTTTCTCATTCCTTTCAACAAATTGCGAATGCTTTTGGACATGTATCAATTGCTTTCATACAACTCTTTGCTGTTAAAATTATTATTCGCTTATGTCATGTCAGTCAAAATTAACTAAACTTGGGAATGCTGAAAAGTCATTCCAATTTAAAACTAATAGTCCTCATTTCATTACTTGAGTCATTACATACAAAAATGTTGAACTAGTTGCCGAAATCTGACAAGCAAATTATATTAAAATTTTTACATCTTTATTTTCCAGAAAATGTCTTCTAAATTGAACAATTTCATGAATGATTTACAGACGTGTGTATGTTGTAGGTTCAGTTGCAATATGTACTTAATGTTTGAAAGTTGAGCACAGCACACATTGTTTACAGTTGTGCACAGCTCTGCCCAAAGGGAGTTTATGTTTGATGTAAATAAGAGTGTATTTATTCTTTTGGGCAATCCTGCGAAAAAATTAGAATTGCAAAGAGCATCTGCAGTAAAAATGTGAAACATACATATTCAGTGTCTTGTAATCAGATTCCTCACTAAATGCAGTGATGTCTAACTTTACTGTAGTTTTCAAATGGCTGAGCAAATAGTATATAGTGCTGTCTTGAGCATTTTCAGAAAGTGTCACCAAAATCGAACTTTATTACATTGAAAAAAATAGACAAAGCCATTTGACTATCTTGTGAATAGACAATGGTGTCAGGACTTTTCCTCTCGATGACACTGACACTCTCATTGACATCAATACTTGCTTTTGAGGAATGAGCTATCCATTTTTTAGGAGGTGACTCACTTTTAAAGAGGCTCTAGCAATCTAAAAGCTGAGCTATTGCCAGTCAAACACAGCACAGCCATCGCAGCAAGACGGAGAGATTTCAATTATTGTCATAAATAGTAATATCATTGTGACAGGGTGGCTCAGTGGTTAGCACTGTCGCCTTACAGCAAGAAGGTCGTTGGATTGAGTCCCAGCTGGGTCAGTTGGCATTACTGTGTGGAGTTTGCAAGTTCTCCCTGTGTTCGTGTGGTTTTCCCCTGGGTGCTCTGGTTTCCCCCACAGTCCAAAGACATTCGATATAGGTGAACTGAATAAACTAAATTGGCCATAGTGTATGTGTGTGAATGTGAGAGTGTATGGGTGTGTGAATAATTGATATAATTATAATTGAACTTTCGTTTAGACATATCAAATCAACATTTCTTCATTCTGCTGTCCACTGCGTGCATGTCAGACCCTTATAAACATCCCAATTGCCAAATATTATTAGCCATATATAATACGCATTTATGAAATAAATGTTTGTGTGTGAGAGCAAATTAAAAAGACACTTGCGGCTCAACTTGCGTGTGTTAACTAAATTTTACAGGCTAACTGCATGAACAGCTACGCAAACTGAGACGTAGTGTAGCCTATTTCGAGTGCAGGATATTAGTGTTTTCCTGTAGTGGCAGTTGGTCAAATATTACTAAATTAATAATAAGCAATTAAAAAAGTGAGTTATTCCGTTTGTGGATAGGACAACGACCTCCTTATAATAAGCTTAAATGATCAGTTTTCATTAGCCACTAACGTTATTCTGTGTGTGAATATTTATGAGCCAGATGTAGCTGGGTAGCTATGCCTACTAAATTGCCAGTTATCTCCAAAAAACAAAAAGCTTAAACATTAAAATGTGCTTTTAGAAATCACAGATATATCTTTTCTGTGAGGGCTGTGTTTAGGATAGGGGATAGATTAGTGCTATGTACAGTATAAAAAAAATCCTTAGGCCTGTGTCTAGTGCCGTAAACCGACATAGAGTAGCTCTATATGATATAACAGATTATTTTTCCACACAATATAGGCAGTGCAACAGGTAACAATTTAGCTTTTGAGCAAGAAAGCACAGCACATCGTGGCATGATGGAGAGATTATAAGTGTATTATTATTATTAGACATTTGTCTGGGCATTAGGGACGGGGAGTCGACTCCTCGACTCTCAATGAACCTAGTACTGAAATCGACTTCAGGACAGGAATATGAGAGTTGAGTCTGTTTTTTTCAAATCCTCCTGAATGAAGCTGTTTTAAGCTGCAGTTATAATGCTCATTCTCGAGCACGATGAACTCTGAAGGCAATTATAAATTTAGTGCTGCAGACAAAGTTTGCTTTCACTTTTAAATACCTATGAAACACAACTTTGTGCAATTTGGTTTTAAAGATGATCTGCCTGCGATGTCAAGTTTGCTGTGTTATCAATACAATTTAGCTCTAATATTTGGGCTATTCTTCTTGTTTATTTTGTAAATAACTACAAATTAAATACATTAAAATTAAAATACAATTAATAACAAACGAAATTCATTTCAAAAAGAGGATTTTTAAATACAAATAGAGACAAGGCTAAGTTCAAAAACAGCTCTGACTCACTTCTTTTCTTCCGGCGTATGCTGTCCCATAAACAAACCCTTATTTAACTACAATGAACAAATTGCACAAAACAAACAGTGATATTTAAAAGTAAAGTAATAGGCTGTTTAAAAGAACACATAAAAAAATAAAAATTTACAAGAGAGAGCAATATGATATGTTTTGAGGCACAGCTGATTTTATTTATTATTTTAGGTTTGTTATGAATTTCGTGTAGGGGGTTAATATTTAATCGGTCATTAAATCAAATTGAAATCTAGCTATATTGTTTATTGATCAGTTAGAGCAGGCATGTCCAAGCTCGGTCCTGGAGGGGCAGTGTCCTCCAAAGTTTAGTTCCAACCCCAATCAGACTGTAGGGATAGTTTACAGTTTAACCCAAAGAATGACCAGTCTGGTAAATGAAGAAGAGCCGGAGTCAGAGATTTAAATAAATAAATCAAGTTTACTGAAGATAGTTTGCAGTTTCATCCGCAGAACCCAGCTTCAACACTCGCAATGAGTTCCTAGGCCACTCTGCTTACAATCACCAATCAATAACAATTATACTCTCACATAACGTCATTAACTGCGTCATACATAAAGGTGTTCTAACCTGATTGGTTAAAACACAGATAGACTAGGAACATTTCCACGTGAGGTTCGTGCGTACAATTCTGAACAATATCTAAGCATAAACGTCAGACACCCTTTAGACTGATTAGAGCTGACTCCAGACCTGTGAAACGGATCAACAATCAAATAGAACACACACACTTTAAGTATAATCTGTTTCTTATCCAAGGCTGAGTGTACCGTCCGCCGTCTTTATCAAAACTGATTAAAAACTGGTATAATCTACATTCAGGCAGTTATATTCTTACTACACAAAGTCTATCTTGAATAAAAAGTAGAATCACTTTAAAAGATTTAACCGTAAAACTATAGCAAAATCACTTTAGACATTTTAGACAGTATTAACTCCTAGAAATAACAATAGAAACAGTTGCTTCCAGTCCTCAGTTCCACTCAAGATCTCAATTCATTAATTAAAATCAATTCACAGTTAAATATTGAGAAACAGGATGATGAAAACGATAAACGTTGGTCCATGATGAGATGGACTGGAAAGCAGAAATCCGAATCCTTCAAGACACACCTGGGCTAGCTAATCAAGCTCTTACCAGGCTTTCTAGAAACATCTTTGCAGGTGTGTTGAGGCAAGTTGGAGCTAAAATCTGCAGGACACCGGCCCTCCAGGACCGAGTTTGGACACCCCTGAGTTAGAGCATCTGTTGCCTTTAAAACAAATATAGTACTAAACAACCTCAGACTGTTCACTACTCCAGATTATTTTGTTCACTCATACTCTGTATTCATGTATCAAACATTTATATTAAGAAGATATTAAGGGTATTTCATGATTTTTATTTAAGCGTTGTTTGGGCTCAATTGGGGTATTTTTTAATTTGTTATTGAACTGCTGCTACACATCTTTTCATTAAATATTTTGATAATAAATTGAGGTTTTAACTTTCTGTCTCTAAGATTGCAATGTAATTTTCTAAATTAAAAAAAGTATAGGCTGATTTTTATTTTATTTTGACTGCAGATGATTTAAAATGCTGATTTTGTCTGACCACAGGAGAACTTCTTGTATAAAGAAAGATATGATACAGCATGTTTAATCCTTGCGCTATTTTAAGTGAATGTAAAAGGTGTCGATTCTTGAGTCGATTCTACTGACTCCAAAATTAAGAGTCAAGAATAGCTGTCGACCCCGAAAAACCCAGAACCGAACCACCGCATAATTTAATAATCTAATATTAGTAAAAAAAAAAAAAAGCGTAATTTTTGACAAAGAGAGTGATGTGCTCCATCGGTCAGGATAACCTTAACATCTTGTGTGCTGTGGCGCAGTTTTCATATTTTGTACTTTGCACATATTTAAGATTTGAGGTGGGCTAATAAATTTGCCAAAGATTCTCCTCATGTGTTCACAGCAACCAGATTTCATTATCGGTTAGGTTTTTAAAACTCCTATAGTCTGAGCCCAGCTCAAGCCCACCACCGCCCCCCTTCCTCTTAAACATCTTTTGGTGATACTGTAGGTGATACCTGACCAGCAGTTTTTTATCATTTCTGAGATGTGATTCCCTAAATTCTCTACTCCACTCTGTAAAAGACAAAGAAAACATCAACAGAGCTCTACCTGCTTGTTCAATACTATCTATCCGTTCGTCCGTCCGTCCATCCAAAGAAAATACCCGACTATCACTCTGTGAAAATATAAATATGTAAATTAAAATGTTTGATGAAGTTAATTTGATTCAACTTAAAAATGTAAGGCTGTACCTAATTTATTATGATGCACTTGTGATTACTGAGGTGTGTTTCCCTGTTCTTCCACATGCTTCGTACAAATCTGCCAAAGAGAAAGATATCAGGTCTATAATTAATCTCAATAAATTTCTTTGGAAACTAACTCCATTTTTCAGTCTGTTCAAGCAGTTCTACCTCTTTGCCGAGCTCCAGGTCTTCCAGTTTATCTCCACTGTTCCCCTTGTTAGTCTCAGGGGTAAAGCTCTACTGGGCCACGAGCCCCCCTCAACTGCACCCCACCCAAAAAAAAAAACATTTATTTACCCATATATAAATAGCTATACTGAATATTTTAAATCAAAATTTGAATTATATTATAAATAAAACTATTATTATTATTTAATATTTGTATTATAATAATACTTTTTTCTCTAAATAATTAACATAATTAAATCATTCCAGTTGTGTCTTTACATTTGATTGATTTAAGATACTTTTGCTGCCACAAAGAAGACATCTTTCCAACTATCTGGAGCTGTAATTAGAAACATTGTTCCTGACTGTGTTCTATTCTCAGTTATCCCCCTATGCCCTATTCATTTAGAACATTTTAACATTCAAAGTTGCAATTATTAAAAAATAAAAAAATATTAAAGTCATCTCTCTTAGGTGTAATTTGCATTCAAACTATTTTTACAGTTTAGTTTTCGTGATCTTACAGATCTTACAGTTTACAACTGTGCTCCCTTCGCAGTGCACTTTGAAAACATTGATGTCATTTTGTACACAGCCTCATGGTGAAAGCTATAGGTGACCTGTTATTTAAAAGCGGAATTTATGTTACGTCTCCAAAGCTTGTGAAAACAAAAAGCATACGGTAATTCTTTTCATTTATATTGAGTCATTTATTAAGTATCTGTACTGTATATGACATGGGCCTGCCAGTTAGAACTTTCTAAAGTGGTTTACATGTGTTAAATTGTAAAAGTAGATTTTAAAAAATAATAAATAAATAAATATCCTTCTTAATATTAATAAGAATCATCATCATCACCATCATTAATATTATTATTAAAGTATCATTTTTTCATTTCTAATAAATAAAAAATATTACATTTCATTTTATAATAAATAGCCATTATTATTTATTTATTTTTATGATTTATATGATATTAGAATACGTGTTAGCTTTTGTAAGTGATATGTTTTAGAATAGAATGTGTAATGTTCAACTTCTCAATAATATTAGTAAAGCAAACATTAGCCCTATATGTGTCATTTACATATATTTCAGTTATTATAGAAAGCGAGTGCATATTTTTACCAAATCTAATATTGAATTCTATTGTAAATGCGTGTGCGTGTATAATTTGCACAAATAAATTAAGTTTCTTTTCTCTAAAGAAGTAGTTTAGAGCATCATTACGGGCATTTTATCATAATTATAACTAATCTGGTTTAAGCGATAAATCTGCGACAGAGAAACTACAGGTTTTGGAAAACACTCGTCACTACATCATTCTTTTCTCAAACGATGCATCAGACTTTTATAGTTTAGCCGTGAGTTACTTCGTTGTTTGGGAAACGCAGCCCAGACCATCAGTTTCCAGTCATGCTGAGGTGCGAGTCCCATTTCTCCACAGGCCCCAGTCTAATCTGCAAAAGACAAAAACAAGACTAACAAAGCTCTACTTGCTGGATGATCTGCATCAATAAACCAAACGTTCTCCAGTGTTCCTCAGATAAATATTCACCATTTTGCTTGTGAGTCTGACTCTTCTGTCTGTTGAAGTTGTAAATAATAGCCACAGACAATACATATATCTAACAATCTATGCCCACCACCACCCCCTTCCACTTGGAAGGACATCCATCCATGCACCTATTCATCTACCTTTAAAGGATATTCCTGACCATTAGTGTCCATTGCTGAGGTGTGTGATTCCTATTTGTCTCCACATGCTGCACTCCAGCCTGGAAAAGATAAAGACACAACTAACAGAGCTCTACATGCTTGCTGAACTCCAGAAATGCATAAACTGTTAACCAGCGGTTTTCAGACAAATCTCCACCGATGCTCTTGTGAGTCTCCTTCTTCTGTCTGTTGTGTGTCCATTACAGGAAAAAGAAACACCTGCCGCAAACAAGACATTTATCTGGCTTAAAGAGATTCCAGACAATCATCTAGTATGTACAAATGAAAGTATATGATTTTAAATGTTTTATAAAGTTAATTTGATTCAACCTAAAAAAGTGTAAGTCTGTATCTAATTTATTACGATGCACTTGTCATTACTAAGGTGCGTTTCCCTGTTCCTCCACATGCTCCATGCCAACCTGTCAAAGAGAAAGATATCAGGTCGTTATTTTATCTCAATGGATTTCTTTGAAAGCAAACTCCAATTTTCAGTCTGTTCAAGCAGTTCTACCTGCTTCCTGAGCTCCAGGTCTTGCAGTATATCTCCACCATTCCGCTTGTGAGTCTCCTTCTTCTGCTCCACTCCAATCTGCAAACAAACAAAGACAGCCTCAAGTGCACAGTCCACACTTCTTTTAAACGGTTAAATAAGAGCATCATCCGTGAATTTAAAGTGAACTTAATCTTTTTAAAATAAAAGAATATTGTCAGCGCAATAGCCTTGTGGTCAATGCGCTGACATATGCTGCAGTAGCACAATAGGGCGTCCCGAGTTCGAAACCCAGCTCAAAGACAATTCCCAACCCTACACCCTTCTCTCTCTCCCACTTCGTTTCCTGTCTCATTACTGTCCTATCAAATAAAGGCAAAAAAGCCGAAAAAAAAGAATATTTCAGTGTGAACACACTACTTACACCATTTACACTACAAAATGGCATAGAATAGTGTACAAGTATGTGATTTGGAACGCACCCATAGACAGTACTGACAGAGCCCTACCTGCTGTTCTCCAGCATTTTCTAGATAAATGTCCACCGATGCTCTTTTGAGTCTCCCTCTTCTGCCTGCTCTCCATTAGCTGAAAAAGGAAAAACCTGACACAGACAAGGCCTAACTATCTATCTATACCAGTGGTTCTCAAATTGTGGTACGCAGGCTTTCTTCTAGAGGTGCACGGAGGAATCACAGAATAAAAATTAAAAATATATTATATATATTTTAAAAAAAAAATGTATATATATATCTATATATATAAAAAAAAATATAACGCCCTTTTACCCTTTGATGCGTATGATAACACAGATATGATCAGCATTGGTTGTTCCCTGTACTGTATGATCACACTGTTATTATTAGTATGTTTAGTGCATCATGTCATCAGATGCTAAGATTGAAAAAAACTGTGGAGCTCTCGAGCAGATACGCACTAGTGAAGTGCTTTTCAGTTACTGCAAACTCAGGAGTTTCTACAAGCTGCATCATTGGTGAAATAATTATCACAAACGTGTTAAAATTTTCATAGTTGTGTAAAATAATGTGTGTTTTCGATGTATAGCCGATACATATTTCGATATATATATTTGTTTTGTAAATAGCCTAGTGGTGTGGCTTTTGATTTAGTTTGTTAAATGGTGCAGGTCGCAGAACAGATTAAAGCCAATTTTACCATGTTTGAACCTTGAAAAAACACAAAATGGAAGTTTGTGCACAGACGGAGCACCTGCAAACCTTACCCAAGTCGACCTGAAAAACGGTGGTCGGATGCACAGTTTACACAAACTCCGCGGTTTACTTATGATATGATCTCAATTCCACCAAATCATGGAAATGCTGCATGTATGAATTGATAAATCACCTATGAATTGGTCAGTGTATTTATAATCACTCACTTTTCTGAAACACATACTGTAAATGACGCGCTGTAAGCAGATCTAATCTCTAATTTAAATTGTAAATGTGAATCATATAATTCAAATACAAGTTAATGTTTTGGGCCCTATCATACACCCGGCGCAATGTGATGCAAGGCGCGGCGCAAAAGTCTTTTGCTAGTTTCAGCTTGGCGCAAGAGTGGTTTTGAGGCGTTGCGATACGCTGTTTGAATAGCAAATGCATTTGCGCTCATTTGTGCGCCCATAGGCGTTCTGGTCTAAAAAGGAAGGTGTTCTGAGGCACACTGCTGGCGCGTTGCTATTTTGCGAAACTAAAATAGATTTTTCATTAGACCAAAACAAACCCGGTCTAAACTCCAGCGCAGAGTTGCACCTCGCCTACACACTGCTTAATACGCACAAGAGAGCAATAGGCAAATCTTTACATATGAAAAAACTTAAATATTAGGGATATAGAATATAATAAGAATAGATATAAGATATAAATATAAAGGATTAAAATATTACAAAACATATTATTTTCTAGCCTACATGAATATGAAAAATCACTGCTTTTATGTCTTCATCTCGGGAGGCTTTTTCAGTTCATTTATAACAATTTGCTTTTGTATAATGTTATTATTATTAGCAGTATTATTTATTATCTCCATATTTATATTTGTTTTATGAAATACAAGCTTAGATTTGCCCACCTGTCAGGTTTTAGACCATATGGGGCACAGCATGTGTATTAGGATATAACTCAGGTTTTTGACCACACTTCGTTATTATTGTTCATTTATTTGTTTGCTGGAAATTAGAACTGAATTTAGAAATAGTTTTGAAACAAATATTTGCGCTTAACAAACAAAATTAATTATTTATAGGCTAATTGATGTCTGTGCGTAAAGGTTTCCCTATCTAAGAGCGAAAGTGAAAGTAGATCGATTATCTCTCATTCTCATGCAGTAGATGCTCTGTTTAACAGTTTTCTGTTTAAAAAAACTGTTAACTGTTTGCTAGTGAAATGCTTTCCACTTAGACTTACTTTACGTCCTGTAAATAGCGAATGCGCTTATGGCGCGACGCAGCTGGCTCTTAAAGGGAATGGGAGATGAGACTCTAATTGGTTTATTCTCAAAACACACCTATAACTCTTAAGAAAATAAACTCAACCCTTGAAAGTGGATTTTCCCATCTTTAAATTAGCAAAAATGTGTTCTGACACGCCCTGAAAGCGTTTGCGCCCTGCGTTTTGCGCTCTGCGCATGGACCGTCAAAAAAAAGCCCTTAGATTTAAAGAGAGAGAGCGGGGATAGTTGTAACACTTACAATCTCTACAACAAGGAACTAGTTACAAATCAGCTGATTCACTTCACACATGCTCATTTTAGTCCTCATACCACATATGAAAAAGTCCTGTGACAGACACAGCAGATATTAGACAGAAAAACTACACTTCAGCTAAGATTAGCTAATTAATTATTTTTAAGATATCATTGCCTGATTTGTAGTTAAACCCATGTAATCTGTGTGTCTGATTGTGGATATACTTAATCCACATTGTTGGTGATAATGTTTTAGCTGTTAGCTGTAGGAGAACAGATTCATGGCCACATAATGCTGGGTCAGTTGAAACAACAAAAGCTAGTAACTTGTTAGTCACATCAGTGAAATGTTACCACCAACCTCAAGCAGATTTAAAACTGTATTTATATGATTTAATTTCAGTATTGCTATAGCTTATAAAAGAGAAAGTCAAAAGTAGTTTGAGTTCAGTGTTTGACCTCTGTGGGCTCATGAAGCCTGCAAACACAAATAGTGTTCAATTGTTGAAGCTGATGCACATTTGCACATTTCATTCAGCTTTGTAACACAGAGACACACAAACTATACTGAAAGCTCAATGCTGAATAAAAAGCTTTCAAATCCATTTTTATGTCATAATTCTCATTTTATGATGTTACAACTAACCCAGACTGTGGGCTGAATTGTAACATTTCACTCCTCCTGTTTGAGGGCTTACTCACACTATTTACAGTTGCCTTGAACCGGGCCGAAGCACATTTGTCCCCCCTCCCGTCTCACCTGACGGCCCGCACTCACATTGCATTTGGGACTGAGCATGCTTACGTCATCAATGATGCACAGTTCAGTAAGAAGCGCTCTCACTCAGCACAGTGGAAATTTCTTTAGTTATATCGTTTTCAAGAGTTCACACTTAGCTGATGACTGATTATAAGCAAGTTTAGCATGCTGTCCCGGGAGAGAGACCTGAGCTCAAAAGGTCCTTGAGCCCTGGGCTCCCTCCCGTTTGCCTCAGGTAGATCTCGACAACTCCCCCCATGATATGAGCTGATGACTAAAATAAATGCTATGAAGAGATATGCTGCTGAATGAGAGTTTGAATGTAGTGCTAAATTTAGATTGATCAATTCACTTGTAGTACATGTTTTTGGAATGTGGGAGGAAACCGGAGAACCCAGGGAAAACCCATGCGAGCACGGGAAGAACATGCAAACTATGCACAGAAATGACAGTCAGCCTGTTAAAGGACTAGAACCGGTGACGCTCTTGCTGTGAGGCTGCATTGCTACCCACTGGGCCACCGTGCCACCCTATGAAGGGAAAGCTGGAGAGGTAGGGGTGGAAGGGGTGACACGCAGTTAATTATTTCGCTGAACAGATCAGCCACTTTTGACGCTCATAAACAATTATAAAGTCATCGCGCTGCAGGAATTAAGAGGTTTGCTACAGGTGCAGCTGTCATGCAGTGAGGTGTTTGCGTCTTTAATAATCTACGACAGTTTGCATTCATTGAACAGTATGAATGATTAATAAATCCATATAAAACAGTTCCTTAAATGTCACGTCTCGTCTTCAGTTTCCAGCCCAAGTGAATCGCGCGCTGGCACACCTCTTCCAACCAGGCCAGGGCCGCCAAAGTGTACCGCACCTGAGCCAGATTCGGAGCACTCACACTTCTCAAACGTTATGGGCCTGGGCACGGTACTGATAGCATAGTGTGAGTACGCCCTGAAACTAAAAAGTGTTCATATTTACTGTTTACGCTGCAAAAATTACTTATTTGGCCATTTAATAGCAGACACTTGTAACTCAAGATCTCAAAGATATATAAAGAAATATAATAGAAGTACAACTATCCCCGGTCTCCCCCATACAAATATATCATAGGTACATACAACTTATATTTCAAAATGTATGAAAAATAATTTATAATACTTATGCTCTTGTGAGTGTCTCTCTTCCGCCTGTTGAGAATTCATTATCTACAATGTAAATAACAGCCACAGACAAAACATCTATTTAACAATCTATGCCCACCACCACCCCCTTCCACTTGGAAGGACATCTATCCATGCACCCATACTTCTGCATTAAAAGGATATTCTTGACCATCAGTGTCCAGTCACCACTGAGGTGTGTGATTCCTATTGGTCTCCACATGCTCCACTCCAGTCTGTAAAAGACAAAGACACGACTAACAGAGCTCTACATGCTTGCTGAACTCCAGCAATGCACAAGCTGCTCTCCAGCGTTCTTCAGATAAATCTCCACTGATGCTCTTGTGAGTCTCCTTCTTCTGTCTGTTGTGTGTCCATTACCTGAAAAAGAAACACCTGCGGCAGACAAGACATCTATCTAACTATTTACTGTATCTGAAGGAAATACCCAATCATCACTTAGTCTTTACAAATTAAAGTATATAATTTAAAAATGTTTTATTAAGTTAATTTGATTCAACTAAAAATGTAAGTCTATACCTAATTTATTACGATGTACTTGTCAATACTGATGTGTGGTTCGCTGTTTCTCCACATGCTCCATGCCAACCTGTCAAAGAGAAAGATATCAGGTCTTTAATCTCAATATATTTCTTTGGAAACAAACTCCATTGTTTAGTCTGTTCAAGCAGTTCTACCTGTTTCCTGAGCCCCAGATTTTCAAGTATATTTCCACTGTTCCTGTGACTCTTCTACTTCTGCTCCACTCCAACCTACAAATGACAAAAGCTGCGTCCCAAATGGCACGCTATACACTATGAACTTATACACTATGTACTTATGCACTTACACACTCAACAGCATAGTATATGAATGTAGTGTCCCAAATAGAACACAATCGGTTATTTACTAACCGCAAATTCAGCTGTCGTGCATTGAGAAGTTTGCGTATTTAATAAACTACGGCAGTTTGCGTTCAATGAACAGTAAGAATGATTAATAAATCCATATGAAACAGTCCCTTAAAAGTCACGTGTCGCTTTCAGTTTCGGGCCCAAGTGAACCGCACTCAGACCCACC